ACAACCATCGGGGATGTGAGAGGATGTGCTTTATCCATATAAAACCGCTTCAGAACCTTCTTCGTGTAATTTGACTGGTGGATGAATATTCCGTCTTTCAAATGGTCAATTTGAAGACCAAGACAGAATTTTGTTCTCCCAAGATCTTTCATCTCAAATTCTTTCATGAGATATTTTGCAGTATTTTCTATTTCATCAGAAGTTCCAATGATGTTTAAATCATCAACATATACTGCAATAATGGCAAAGCCTGATTTTGATCTACGGATGAAAACACATGGACTAATTGGATCATTTTTGTATCCTTCTCTGAGCAGATATTCACTGAGACGATTATACCACATTCTGACAGATTGTTTTAGTCCATATAGTGACTTTTCCAATTTTATGGAAAACATCTCTCGAGGTTTTGAACTATAAACCTCAGGCATCTTTAGCCCTCCAGGAACTTTCATATATATGTCAGTATCGAGAGATCCATATAAATATGCTGTCACTACATCCATTAAACGCATTTGAAGTTTTTCAAATACAGACATGCCTATCAAAAATCTCGACGTAGTTGGATCAACTACTGGGGAATAAGTTTCCTCATAATCTATCCCCAGAATTTGAGAAAAACCTTGGGCAACGAGTCGGGCTTTATATCTCACAATTTCATTTTTTTCATTGCGCTTACGCACAAAAACCCATTTGAAACCAACTGGTTTCACGCCTTTTGGCGTAGGAACTATAGGCCCAAAAACACTCCGTTTTTCAAGTGATTTCAATTCTGCCTGAATTGCTTCGTTCCATTTTGGCCAATCATGTCTACGTCGACATTCATCAATTGAAGTTGGCTCAATGTCATCATTTTCATCCATGATGTTTGTGGCAATGGCATATGCGAATATATCATCAACATGAACATCGTTTCTGTTCCATTATAATCCCGTAGAAACGTAATTTATTGAAATCTCATAATTATCAACGTTTCTATCTTCATCTGAATTATTCGCATCTTCAGAGATGGTTAAATCCTCATTTGAAACAAATTGTTCGTTGATATTATTTTTTATATCAACATGCTCGGTTCGTTCATTTTCTTTCTTTGAAGAATGAACGTCTTTTGTTTCAAGTATTGTCTCTTGCCTTTTAAGTTTTCTTGGTTTTACATCTTTTGAACCAAGTGGTCTGCCA